CCAGTTTGTTGGTGTACAACTGTTCATAGTGCTCTCTTATCATCTTTTTATTTCTGCAGAATCAGTAGTAATAGCCCATCGTCTTTTCTGAGTTTAGTGATTTCAGTGTTTTCTCTTTTTTTCTTAGTCAATAAAGATAAGTGTCAATTTTGTTAATCTATTCAAAGAACCAATTTTTGGTTTCATTGATTTGCTTTATTATTTTTCTATCCTTTATTTTCTCTGCTCTAATCTTTATTTTTTATTTTCTTCTCTTAGCTTTGAATTTAGTTTGTTCTTCTTTGTCTAGTTCCTTAAGTTATAGTTAAGTTGTTAATTTGAGATCCATTTTTTTAAAGATTTTTATTTATTTGTTTGTCAGCAAGAGAGCACACAAGCAGGGGGAGTGGCAGGTAGAAGGAGAAGCAGGCTCCTCACTGAGCAGGGAGCCCCGATGAGGGGCTCGATCCCAGGATCTTGGGATCATGACCTGAGCTGAAGGCAGATGCTCAACCGACTGAGCCACCCAGGTGCCCCCCTTTTTTCTTTTTTAATGTAAGCATTGACAGCTGTAAATTTCCCCCTTACACTGCTTTCACTACATCCCATAAATTTTGGTATGTTGTGTTTTTATTTTCATATTTATTTGTCTCTACATATTCTTCAATTTCCTTTGTGACTTCTTCTTTGACCCATTGGTATTTAAGAGCTGTAGAAGTTCTTCATATATTATAGATCTTAATCTTTTATCAAATGTATGATTTGCAAATATTTTCTGCCATTTTGTGAGTTGCCTTTTCACTCTGTTGATAGCGTCTTTTAATTCAAAAAAGGTCTCAATTTTGATGAAATACAATTTATCTTTCTTTTGTTGATTGTGCTTTTGGTGTCATATCCAAGAAATCATCATTGCCAAACCCAGTCTCCATGAAACTTTCCCCCTATGATTTCTGTGAAGAGTTTTATGATTTTAGCTCTTACATTGAGGGCTTTGATCCATTTTGAGTTTGTGTATTTTGTGTCTTGCTCCGTATATTTGGGGGCTCTGATGTAAGTCTGTATAATTGTTGTATCTTCTTGCTGCATTGAACTTTTTTTTAAAGAATTTATTTATTGGGGTGCCTGGGTGGCTCAGTCGTTAAGCGTCTGCCTTTGGCTCAGGTCATGATCCCAGGGTTCTGGGATTGAGCCCTGCATCAGCTCCCTGCTCGGTGGGAAGCCTGCTTCTCCCTCTCCCGCTCCCCCTGCTTGTGTTTCCTCTCTCGCTCTGTCTCCCTCTGTCAAAGAAATAAATAAAATCTTT